TTCAATACCAAATAGTAAAAGTCGACGAAGGAAACAAAAATCCAGAGACAGGTGCAAACTGGACGTGAAAAAAATAACTGCAAACATTGAGCAAAGAGAAGAATCTGGGGGTAAATACGGCAGCAAACACATCGCTGGAGGCGCACGCAAACCACACAACTTCAGAAGCAAATGCCATGCACGCAAACTTGGAGAATAAAAAGGCACAATACCGTGACTAGAACATTACATGATAGTCAGTATTCCAGGTAGTCGTAAGTTTCATTATCTAATGTGCGGGTTATTTGTCTATTTTTTTTAATCACTGTACCCCTCAAGGGGAGGTTCCTTGACGCTTGTGAGGGGCTCTTGATCTAGGGAATTGGCTCTGTGTTCCAGTTCCCTGAAATGAGCCTGAATACCTTCCTCCCCCCCCCACAGGTGTTGTACAATCCCTAGAGGTTTAGCGCTCCCTTGTGATTATAATAAATAATAATTTAGCCACCGTAATATTAATAAGAATAACAACAACAACAACAACAACAACAACAACAACAATAATAATAATAATAATAATAATAATAATAATAATAATAATAATAATAATAATAATAATAAGAAGAAGAAGAAGAACAACAACAACAACAACAAAAACAACAAAAACAAAAACAAAAACAACAACAATAATAATAATAATAATAATAATATATCCTTTATAATAATAATAATAATAATAATAATAATAATAATAATAATATATCCTTTATAATAATACTAATAATAATATCTATCATCCTTTCCTCTGATCAAGACTGGTATTCCTTTGATGTAAGGTCCTTCGCGTTCCCGCTGAGAGGATTACAATCGTGGCTGTGATAGTCGTTACTGCCATGGCTTCACCTCCCTCAGGATGGTCATGACAGAGTTGCCCTGTCTTACTGCACACTGCCCCGTGTGTTTGCCGCACACTGCCCAGTGTGTTTGCCGCACACTGCCCCGTGTGTTTGCCTGACACTGCCTCGTGTATTTGCCTGACACTGCCCCGTGTGTTGAATGTGTACGATGACCAGTAAATTCCTTCTTGCCCTCACCTTGAAGCTGAGTCTTGAGATTATCATAAGATTCTTTTGTTCTTGAGAACACATGTGATGTCTTCCACTCCCGTGTCACTTGAAGAATAACGCAATTATATCAATCAAGTTTTCACAGAACTTTATTACGAACAATCTTTCATCATCGACTGCAAGAAGAAAGACCTAGGAGATAATAAGTACTGTGTTTTCCGGCATATAAGGCGCGCTCTTTTTCCCACAGAAAGACTTGGAAAATCAGCCTGCGCCTTATATGCTCAAGATCAGGGTCAAGGGTAGACTCTGGGTTACGCATTAGGGTAAAGTAAGAAGGTAATAAACTCTACTGATTTACCGTTATGATATATCTGTCGTGCACTTTATATCTTGAGGTTATCTTGGGGTTATCATGGGGGTTATCCTGAGGTGATATTTTGATTATCATGGGGTTATCTTGGAGTTAACTTGGCGGAAAATTCTGTAACTCTTGTTCTAACATATCAGACAGCTGATACACTGCACTTCCCGTCAACAACACCAGCGATAACCTTTCCATTATTAGTCACCAACATCTGATCTAAAATCATGAAAGATTTAGTCAAGAAAAGGAAGCCACTGAACGCTACTGCTGGTGGTGTCTATACCTCACCATGTGGAGGCTGTAACAAGATTTACGTCGGTGAAGCCTCCAGAGATCTCGACACCAGCGCTAAAGAACATATTAACGGATGCTGGAGCTACAACAAAAATACATGCACGCTACCTAGACACCCCGAGAACCATCTTATGAAATGGCCGTTGCGAGAGTGTTCAGAATCTGCAGTAACAGCCACAACCAATAATTTTAACCAGAACTCAGGATCATACAGTCTCCGAAGTTTTAGGGAGACTCATTTCCCAGTACCTGACACTGCGACATTGGTCGCCGCCTCAGGAGTTGATACCGCCTGTATCTTACATTGCATTTATTGCCGTTGTGGTATAATTATGACTGGTTAATTTTCAGTGATAAGAGGACATTCTAACGTAACTCATTCTAACGAAACCTAAACAGCGCATACACAGTTCTGCAAACTGTGTATGTGTGAAATCCACCAAGAATGTACGAGGATGGTTTGTACGGTTCATACAGTTTGTACATGAACTGTTCCACTGACTTACGGAAAATTTGAAATTTTAGCCATATTTGTGCAGATCTAGATAATGAGTATATACTTTTAGCAATTAAATTACTGCATCTTTGAGATGATCGCGTGAATCACTGACACTGTGAATGATGTTGCGAGTTTTCTGTCACAGCGTATATAGGTACTACACAAATAACCCGTAAATAGGAGAGAGAAGCGATATTGTGCATTTTTGTTTTTTCTGTATAGGCAATCACTGATAGTAGTATTATGCGTCCTATTAATGGCGCAGTCACAGGGATGTTGGTGGGTGACGCCCACCTGACGCCCCACAGACGCAAGTATTAGTTCTCAGTTAATGGCTAATTTTCACAGAAATGTATTGCTTATACATACTGATATACTGGTTTTAGCCCCTCCCCTTCAAGAACGAAATCCTGATTGCGTTGCAGCATCTGATGCCTATCCTGTGGACGGCAGTCAAAAGAGGCACGTCAAGGGGTCTAGAAACTGACACCCCATCCTCCAGGTTTAAATATCGTTCGTGAGGATATTAGCGTTCTGAAGGCGACAACAAGTGTCGCCCTGCCAGACATATGCCAACCTTCATTGTTGGTTAACTCAAAATAAACATAAATTAACTTTGCGTTAAGCTAATCTAGCTTAACCTAGCTCTACCTAGGCTAGAATAACAAATGGTAGATTTCTACATCATGCTCAGTGGGTGGAAATATTCGAACTGCTGTGAGGGCTAAAAATGTTCTTCCTTATAGTGAACGTTTCGTTCTCCGAGAGCTTCGTCAAGCTTTGACAAAGTTTATAGAGAGTGAAACGTTGCCACAATAAAATGTCACATTAGTTGCATCTGTGTCCATTTACCAAGCATTCTGTCGGTAATTCTACCCTCTTTTAAATGAGCCAACAACGAGACGAGGACGACAACGTAAACAAGGACGACAGCTTCAAGGACGACAACGTAGAGAAGGACGATAACATAAACAAAGACGACAACAACAAGGACGACAACGTAGACAAGAACGACACTCGCTAGTAAAGAATACTTTTTAACGCTGTTGTTGCCGCCTCTTTAATACACCGATGACCAACAGCTGAAGATATGTTGCTTTTGAGAAACGTAAATTTGGCAGTAATACAAAGATGAGTGTTCACATGTAACCAGCGAGTACAAAATGGAATCACTACATTACAAACTGTTATGTACCACTCGCGGCGTAATAACTGTCTAATGATGGTCTAAAAAGTCGCTCAGTTGGAATTTCGAATGTGGGGAAATTTTGATCCGCATGCATGGGTGAACTTAAGAAAGCAAAGATTATTTCATAGACCGTGTGTTTTGTTAAAACTAGCGTGTGTATGTGTGTGTGTGTGTATGTCATTGTCAATTCAAGCAGTAGATGCCACCAGTAGGCAACACGCTTGTTGAAAGTGCAACACACTGACCTTTTGTGTTGTTGGTGTGTGCTGGACACCAGCCTGGCCCTGATACGTTCATTCAGTACAACGTACCAGCAGGCAACCTTAACCAGGGGTTCTGTGTAAACCAATAATTTATTTTGAGGTTCTGAATCCTGGAGTATACCTGGAGAGGGTGTCGGGGGTCAACGCTCCCGGGGCCCGGTCTGTGACCAGGCCTCAAGGTGGATCAGGGCCTGATCAACCAGGCTGTTTCTGCTGGTCGCACGCAACCCGACGTACGAACCACAGTCCGGCTGGTCAGGTACTGAGTTTCGGTGCCCGCCCAGTGTCTTCTTGACAACTGTCCTCAAAGATTAGCCAAGTTATACCATGAATTAAGGAAAGATCCTGGACTTCACCTTACGAAAGAAACAAAGCAAATGCGATAATAATTCTGGACAAGGTAGATTATAGTGGAAAAATGAAGATATTATTAGAAGACGGGGGAACTTACGTGCCCTTTAAAACAAATTCTCAGCACATAAACACTGAGAGTCACACAGCTGCTGTTTACACTACCAGTACTAATGCTCTTCCAGCATCCATAGTTAATCGGTGGTCCTGAGGTGGTTGGTGAACTAGGGTAGGTGGATGCCGCAGAGACACAACACTGTAGTCAAGAATAACATTGTAACTATTCAGCACCTATTGTGTATCTAGTTGAACTCTGTGTTTGCAAAGTGCTTGGCCAACCAGTTTTAAGCTGAATTATTTATGTTTTCGCTTACGTCTTCAGAGGGACGTCTATTCAAGTGTTTTATATATGCATAACAAAACGTAACACACAAGTGTTAAATAACAAAAAAGGCACAATACCGTGACTGGAACGATACACAAATAACCCGCACATAAAAGAGAGAAGCTTACGACGACGTTTCGGTCCGACTTGGACCACTGACAAAGTCACACTGTGTGACTTTGTCAATGGTCCAAGTCGGACCGAAACGTCGTCGTAAGCTTCTCTCTTTTATGTGCGGGTTATTTGTGTAACACAAGTGTTACACTTCATGCCACGAAGTCTCATGCAATCATTTCATGTTACTGTATATTTTTGCGTGTCTAATGCTCCCATTCTTCGTTACCAGGTAGGTACGCTAGGTACTCCTTAGCGTTTACATCATTCCCATCCATATTTATGGTAAGAAAACTGTCTGACTAAATCCATATACCTCTGACAGAACGGATTAACTCTATTTTCATTCCTCCCATTAACGTTTGATAACACAAAGATTAACCATAGACACCATCATTTCCACTAGCGTTCACTTGCCTTTGCCGTTTTAAGATACTAAAAAAAAAAAAATCCTGTACACGAAGCAAATCTGTAACTTCTCTCTTTCTCTTTCAGATTTTGGTGACTTCCAAACTGTACCTGGCCAATGACACACAGTGTCATTGTGGCGCCGCACGCACAACCACTCCCAATATCGTCTCTCAGCAACATTATGGTGTTTCGGTGACAACGAACAAAAAACTCTGAACAGTTATGACGTGTATGAGACACGTTGGCAACATGTTTGTGTGGTGGCTGGTTGTAGTGGTGGCCCTGGCAGTAGGTGCCGCACCTGACACTGGCTCTTCAAACTTCGACAACCATAGGGCCAAGAACGGCCTCCACGGCAGCTCCCGGCACTATGAGGAGCGTGAATACGAGGTCTCTCCTGTACGTCTGGCATATCCTCGAGACGGCAAGAAGACCGAAGCGTGAGTACCCTCACTTGTATGAGTCATTATGACTTGTATGAATAATGAATTATGAAAAGTTGGGAATTATGAAGAGTTAGGATTTATGAAGAGTAGGGAATTATTAAGAGTTTTGTAGGAATTATGAAGAGTTTTGTAGGAATTATGAAGAGTTAGGTACTATCAAAAGTTATGAATTATGAAAAGTTAGGAACTGTGAAAAGTTAGGATCTATGAAAAGTTAGGAGCTATGAAAAGTAAGGAACCATGAGAAGTTAGGAAGTAGGGAAAGACACTAATATCTAGCTGAAGCTTTATATCAATTAAGCTTGTCTCTTAGGTTAAGCTTTGCTTTCAACCATTTCCCCACCTCTTAGCAAAGCTTTCTGGTGATCTGAGAAAGCTCTTCTGAGAGCGAAACACTGATCATCTAAAGCCCTGTCTGTGTACATACCAGTTGGTTTTAGGCCCTTCAACCAGCTAACACTGGTGTGTTGATGATTGATGTTACTAACACTGGTGTGTTTGATGTTGCTGACACTGGTGTGTTGATGATTGATGTTACTAACACTGGTGTGTTTGATGTTGCTGACACTGGTGTGTTGATGATTGATGTTACTAACACTGGTGTGTTTGATGTTGCTGACACTGGTGTGTTTGATGTTGCTAACACTGGTGTGTTTGATGTTGCTAACACTGGTGTGTTTGATGTTGCTAACACTGGTGTGTTTGATGTTACTAACACTGGTGTGTTTGATGTTGTTGACACTGGTGTGTTGATGATTGATGTTACTAACACTGGTGTGTTTGATGTTGCTGACACTGGTGTGTTTGATGTTACTAACACTGGTGTGTTTGATGTTGCTAACACTGGTGTGTTTGATGTTGCTAACACTGGTGTGTTGATGATTGATGTTACTAACACTGGTGTGTTTGATGTTACTAACACTGGTGTGTTTGATGTTGCTAACACTGGTGTGTTGATGATTGATGTTACTAACACTGGTGTGTTTGATGTTGCTGACACTGGTGTGTTGATGATTGATGTTACTAACACTGGTGTGTTTGATGTTGCTAACACTGGTGTGTTGATGATTGATGTTACTAACACTGGTGTGTTTGATGTTGCTGACACTGGTGTGTTGATGATTGATGTTACTAACACTGGTGTGTTTGATGTTGCTAACACTGGTGTGTTGATGATTGATGTTACTAACACTGGTGTGTTTGATGTTGCTGACACTGGTGTGTTGATGATTGATGTTACTAACACTGGTGTGTTTGATGTTGCTAACACTGGTGTGTTGATGATTGATGTTTACTAACACTGGTGTGTTTGATGTTGCTGACACTGGTGTGTTGATGATTGATGTTACTAACACTGGTGTGTTTGATGTTGCTGACACTGGTGTGTTTGATGTTGCTAACACTGGTGTGTTTGATGTTGCTAACACTGGTGTGTTTGATGTTGCAACACTGGTGTGTTGATGTTACTAACACTGGTGTGTTTGATGTTGCTGACACTGGTGTGTTGATGATTGATGTTACTAACACTGTGTGTTTTGATGTTGCTGACACTGGTGTGTTTGATGTTACTAACACTGGTGTGTTTGATGTTGCTAACACTGGTGTGTTTGATGTTGCTAACACTGGTGTGTTGATGATTGATGTTACTAACACTGGTGTGTTTGATGTTACTAACACTGGTGTGTTTGATGTTGCTAACACTGGTGTGTTGATGATTGATGTTACTAACACTGGTGTGTTTTGATGTTGCTGACACTGGTGTGTTGATGATTGATGTTACTAACACTGGTGTGTATTGGATGTTGCTAACACTGGTGTGTTGATGATTGATGTTACTAGCACTGGTGTGTTTGATGTTGCTGACACTGGTGTGTTGATGACTGATGTTACTAACACTGGTGTGTTTGATGTTGCTGACACTGGTGTGTTGATGATTGATGTTACTAACACTGGTGTGTTTGATGTTGCGACACTGGTGTGTTGATGATTGATGTTACTAACACTGGTGTGTTTGATGTTGCTAACACTGGTGTGTTGATGATTGATGTTACTAACACTGGTGTGTTTGATGTTGCTGACACTGGTGTGTTGATGATTGATGTTACTAACACTGGTGTGTTTGATGTTGCTAACACTGGTGTGTTGATGATTGATGTTACTAACACTGGTGTGTTTGATGTTGCTGACACTGGTGTGTTGATGATTGATGTTACTAACACTGGTGTGTTTGATGTTGCTGACACTGGTGTGTTGATGATTGATGTTACTAACATTTAACATAGGTAAAACTGGTCAATTAGCAAGACCTCATTTAAAATTAAGTCCTTTCTAAAATTTTCTCTTATACATTTAAAGATGTATGTATTTTTTCATTTATGTTAATATAAAAATTACCTAATCTTATTATAACAAGTGCAATTTAGGCCACTCCAACTAAATATATTTTATATAAGTTTACAAGAATTTAATAAAAAAACACACAGTGAAATATTTTTTTCGTTAGATTCAGAATGATATTTGCGAAATTTTTGCATGCACAAATTATCACTTGCCCTATTCGGCAAGAAGTGCATTACTATAAAAATGAAAATTTCCGGGGTAATGAAGGCTCACTAACCATATAAATAAAATTGTACAAAAATTTATTATATAATAAGAGAGGCAAATTATGAAAATTATATTTTTTTAAGCAAATAATTTTAAGTTTCTTAATAAATCTAATTTGTAGGGACCGTTTCTTAAGCTAGCAATAATGTAAAGCGGGTAAGGATTCCAGCGGCTGGCAACACCGTTTCAGCATTGACTCGGGAGCCGACACGACAACCTCACCTCCCACTGTCGATACCACCATCACGTAACTTTTGGTCTGGTGTCCTATCTTGCTGTCAATAACTGTCTCTGCTCAGTCAATAGAAGTGTCAAGTAGTGTTTTGTGATTTGTCATGATTAGGAGTGTACAATGTAATATTTATTTATATTTTATTTTTTATTAGAATTTATAATCCTATTAATAGGTGTCAGCACCAAGACGTCAGCAGCACCAAGGTGTCAGCACCAAGGCATCAGCACCACCAAGGTGTCAGCACCACTTTGCTCATAATTAATAAACATTATGTTTAACATTCTCTGTTGTCTATAATGTCCTGGTTAATAGATATTCTATATAGAACTCTCACTTACACGTATCAAAGGAACAGTTCCTCAAGACGCTATTTCTGATGTATAACATAAAGTCAGTAAGTACACAAATGCAATTAGATGTATAACCAATTGCATTTACATAATTCCCTTTGCTTCTTATGATTATCGTCAGCAGCAAAAGTATCCATGACGTGGAAGCAGAGAGGCGAATGTGTGCGACAATAATGACGTTCAGTGGGAATTTCTACTGGATGCCCGGGATGAACAGGATGCGAAAAATCTCTGTAGTTGCCCGTAAAGAGAGAAAATATGGCGAGGGCTGGCCCCTGGTGAGGAAGGTTGTGCGAGAATGCAAAGCAGGACTTGCCTCCCCAGTCTTAATTTATGAATGGAAGTTGTTCATTAACTTCACTACTGCTCAAATATCTGCTTGCCACTAGTGTGTTGCTTGTTGAGCAGTATTAAGATAATAGGATCCATACACGTTACGCGTACCTGTGTGCCGATACTGTCCTGTGTATGTATATTTGTCTGTTGTGTCCTGTGCATTTATGTCATCATTGCCATTTTTTCTTCTGTATCAGTGTTTCTGTGTTTACCTTCGTGTACCAGAACGAATAATGCAAAGAAAATCCTAAATGTCAAGGGCACAACACGAAAGATAACATGCAGTCATAAGCAAAACCTGAGCTGAGTCTGGTCGAGATGCAGACGCCTAGGGAGGTGCTATTATACTGCTGGAAAACCCGTTGGCACCGCAGGCCAGACTCACCTCCACACACACACACCATCACACACATACCAGCACACACACACCCCAGCACACACACACACACACACACACACCAGCACACACACACACATACACACACACCATCACACACATACCAGCACACACACCCCAGCACACACACACACACACACACACACACACACCACACCACAACACACCACACACACACCACACACACACACCACACACACACACACACACACACACACACACACACACAACCACATACACACCACACACACCACACACCACACAACACCACACACACACACACACACACACACACACCACACACACACCACACACACACACCACACACACAACCACACACAACACACACCACACACACACACCAACACACACACACACACACACACACACACCAGCACACACACACACCACACAACACACACACACAACACACAACACACCACACACACACACACACACACACACACACAACACACACACACACACACAGACACACACACCACACACACACACACACACACACACACACACACACACACACACAGTCATAGAGTAGTCAAGTCGTGGAATAGTCTAGAAAGTGAAGTAGTGGAGGCGGGAACCATACATAGTTTTAAGGCGAGGTATGATAAAGCTCATGGAGCAGGGAGAGAGAGGACCTAGTAGCAATCAGTGAAGAGGCGGGGCCAGGAGCTATGACTCGACCCCTGCAACCACAAATAGGTGAGTACAAATAGGTGAGTACACACACACACACACACACACACACACACACCATTCACCTTCCTCTCAACCTCCGGAAAACTCCCTCAACCTCGTCGGAAAGTTATAAAAACCAGGGCATCTAATTGATTGTTCAGTAACAAACCTGACGTGAATGTGAGTCAGACAGAGCGGTGAAGTAAGACATACCGCACATGACCCTCAGTACCGTGAATCGCACAGTAGGAAGGAAGTTAACCCCTTAACAATATACAATTCCAGGCTTTTTCAAGGCATTTCCGAAGACTTCTCTTTACGGGTCGCCTCTCACTCTTACATATAAACAACGTGTCTCAAGTTACAGTTC